TTCCGACAAATCTCCTCCATTTCTTTGGGCGTTCAAGCTTTCCTCTTATTGGCTTCCGGTCTTGACAGATTGATTCGGGTTTGATTGTTTCTGGGTTGGGGTTTTGAATTTTGAAAAGGAAAGGAAACCTTTCAAACGAGGAAGCCATGGTGACAGGCGACGATTCAAGGCTAACGATGGTGGTTGGGCCGAGCTTTTGTAAGAGAAAGGGAGGCAAAGAAAGCAGATCTAGGGTTTGTTGAAGAAACGCTGAAGCAAAAGAGGGAACGAGGAGGAAGAAGCTGAAGTCTATTAAAAAAGGAGCTCTCTTTTTATCAAAACGGCGCCGTATTGAACAGGTATATTGCTTTTCTTTTCAATTGACTCCTTTTGTTATATCAATTTATACGATTTAAGGCCTGTTTGCTTCATGTATTTAGTTTTGTTTCACATTTCATGATTGAAGATGTCAATTTTAATTAATTCATATGCGTTTGTGTGGTTATGATGGTGGTTTGTTGATTAAAGTAATGGTCTTGTTGAAAGCTTAGATTTTTAATAAGAAGGTGTTGTCTTTGGTTCGTAAAAGATAATGGATTGGGTCAATGTTCATCATTTTTGCTTTAATGGTTTATTTTGTGAAAAATCATGTCAAAAATTTTTAAGATGCTAATTTCCTTGTTAAAGGTGTGTGATTTTTTATTTGTTATAGCATGATTAATTAGAATATGATAATGTATTTTCTTGGAATTTAACTTAAACTAAAAAAATCAAGTCTTTAAGTATAAAGTTTTAATTTTTAAACTATAGTTGATTCAAAGATGGAGTCCTGATTACTTCTTGAGTTGATTTTAATTATAAAAATGAGATTTTTGATTTAAAGCTTGAATTTTTAAATTAAAATTAGCACGATAATTGATTTTTATATCATTATGGGCTAATCTTAATTTGGGAAACTTAAGTTTTGAATTAAAAGGTCAAACTATTTTGATTAAGAATTAACTCAAGGAGGGATTGGTGAATCCATTTGAATTGATCTTAGTTTAAGAATCAAAACTTAAATTTAAAGACTTAATTCTTTTAGGTTGAGTTAAAACAAGGAAATAGTTCTAGTTTTAATAACCTGTTTTTAGGTTCATAAGGTGTTTGTGCAATTGAGTCCCTGATTTGCTTTATTCATGTTTGATGATTCCTGAACTTTACTGATTGTGTTCTTTAGTGTCCAGAAATGTCCCCAGTCAGTCCAATTTGGCCCTTAAGCTCTCCTTGTTTTAAGTTATTCAATATTTAAAGTTGTCGACCTAATTAAGCCCCTTGGAATTTGTAATAAGTTAAGCATTCATGTCGTACATGTTATATGTCACATTGCTACATTCAAAGTGCATTGACATTCGTCTTTTGCCGAGATGAGGGACCTTTCGGATAAATGTACTCGGGTACGAATTTCTGGGAAATCCTTCTAGACCGGTTTATTCCATAAATACCCCCATAATGCGTGGGAAGGATTTATGGAGTTAACTTTGTGTAGACTTGTGTTAATGCATGTAAGTAAGATCAATCTTCCATGCACTTTAATTGTCATTCATGAGAGTTAGCTAAGTAAGAATCAGTAAACAGTAGTTGTTTTACAATGACGGGTGGACCCTAAATAAATGTACTCGGGTACGAATTTTTGGTCCTCGCTCCGAGATTGAATTATCTCCGAGATACCCCCATAATGCGTGGGAAGGGTCTCGGGTTAATTTCAAGTACACTGATGTTTACTGATTAAAATAAAATTCACTAATTCATGCATCATTCGTATTCATTCATCCGAAAATAAGATAAAAGCAACCGCTTTTATTTAGACCCACTAGATCTTAGTTTAGATTAGAGGTACCGTCATTTGACGGGCATTTGGGGGTGCTGATCCTTCCCCAAATGTAACAGACTCCCGAACCTAGATTTAGGTTGGAAGACCAGACTTTAAGTTTAGTGGGTCCAATGCCGAGCTTTGGATTTAACTAGGCTTAGGAGATCATTAGGTGGCTAATCACACCTTAGAAAAAAAAGATTAGTTTCGACAATACACCGATCGGCCCCCCAAAGAAAATTTCCTGGTTCCGCCCCTGCGTATCCAATCAAACAAATGACCTAAAAAGCCCTGAAATGGGAAGTGGTTACTTTGAAGTATGACTATGGGACCGAACGACTCATTTTCATCATATTAAATTTATAAATGAATCATTTATCATGACATATCCCGACAACTCTTTTGTTCAACGGGCAGAATCTCGTTGTTATCTCGCAGGGGTGAACAATTCAGAAGCGGTGAATTAGAATATAGTTTTTTTCTTTAGTGGGATGGGGGCACCGAGGCTGAATGTATAGGGCACTCGAGTTATTAGAATTGAATTTTCATTGTAATATATTGAATAACTGAATTATTATGTTTTTTTTTTTAGTAAAAAGATACTTTGATTCATTATAAATCAAGATTGACAACGTATGGAGGTAAAACTCCATACCAAACATAGTTAGCACCTAATGAAACATCTAGTTGTGCTATACTATGTGCAAGTACATTAGCATTACGCTTAACATGTTTGAAAGAACATAAGGAAAAGGAAGAAGCAAAGGTCTGAATTTCTTCAATAAGGCAAGCAGAGTCCCATGTCGATGCAGAACCCTTGGGAATTTCTCGAATAGCTTGAAGACAATCACTCTTAACCACTAGCTTTTCAATCCCATTCAATTGTGCAACCAGAAGACCATAATGTATTGCTAGAATCTCAGATTGCATCACATCAGCAACAAAAGAAATTCTCTTACAAGCAGAAAATCGAATTTGTCCAGTTGAATCTCGTAAAACAACTCCCAATTTTGCTTCATGAGAATCAACATTGTAAGTTGTGTCTGTGTTTAGCTTATATACAGACGCTGGTGGAGGGTGCCAAATATCATTTGTCTGTACAGGATAAGCTCTTGTAGTTGGAGAAAGAAAACATGGTTGTTCTTGAATCATCTTCACCACTGCTGAGGGTAGCAAGCATTTGGAATCATGGAAGCATTTGTTGCGATTATACCAGATTAGCCATAAGGCGGTGAGAATTAAGTCTAATTTATTCAATTGTGTTGCAAAATTAAATAAACTAGTCCAAAATTCTCCATGATTCTACCAAGGCACCAAGTTGGGATGGAGCAATCAACCGCCAAATCTGCAGACTAAATTGACATTCAAAGAATATATGATGGAGAGAAGTTTCCAGCTCGCCACAAACATCACAACACAAACTAATATCAAGACCCTTCTGTTGTAAAATGGCTTTGCCTGGTAAAATTGAACAGAGCAAACGCCGCCCAAAAAACTTAATTTTTGGTCGAACTTGTGACTCCATAAGAGTCGCCATGCAGGAGATCTCTGATCAACAACATTATCTTCTCGCCCTAGCATCCTACGAGCCACATAATACCCTGATTTCACAGTGAACATTCCAACAAATGAGTGATTCCAAATTAACCGATCTGGTGAAAAGTCTGCGACAAAGGCAAGCTTAGAATTTGATTGACATCTTCAGGTTGGAATAACAAATCTAATATATCCACATTCCATCTGCCATCCTCTGATATCAATTCAGAAACTCTCATATCTGTCATTGTAACCTCAGGCAACGACAAAGGACGAAAAGAAGGAGGCTTATTAATCCATGGATCAGACCAGATATAGACTAAATTTCCAAAGCCTATTCGCCATCTAGACCCCTCTTTGATGACTGCTCGTCCAGCAAGTAAGCTACGCCACAAAAATGATGGATTCCTACCAATTGTAACTTGCATAAAAGTAGATGATTGGAAATATCTAACTTTTAGCAATCTAAAACAAATGGAATCCTCATTTTGCAGCAATCTCCAGCACTGTTTTGCCAATAATGCCAAGTTGAAAGCTTCCAAATCTCAAAAGCCAATTCCTCCATCTAATTTTGATATGCTGAGTGATTCCCAATTTTCCCAGTGAATCCTCCTACGATCTGAGCCATCTCCCCACCAATAATTGGCTATGATCATGTTCAATTCATGTACAAAAGTCTTGGGAAATTTGACCACACTCATTAAGTATTGTGGAATGGATTCAGCAATAGCTTGAATTAAAGTAGCTTTACCTGCAATTGAAAGAAATTTACTCTTCCAATTTTGAACTCGAACAATTAATTTCTCTTTTACCAATTGTAGCTCTCTCGTTTTGTTTCTTCCAACCATAATTGGGAGTCCGAGGTACTTATCTTGTGATAATGTTCTGCTTACCCCCCAAGAAAGACATAATAGAGCTCTTCAAATCTGATGGAGTGTTGCTACTGAATAATATTGATGATTTTGCTACGTTGATTTGTTGGCCTGAAGCCATTTCAAATCTGTTCAATTGATGCAATACAGCCTCACAATCTGATACTCTTGTTCTCAAGAATAATATGTTATCAACTGCAAAAAATAAATGAGAAATTCTTGGAGCATGTCTAGCTACTGCAACTCCTCGGATTGTGCCATTACTCTCTGATTCTCTTAGCAAGCTTGTCAGTCCTTCCATACATAACAAGAAGAGATATGGACTTAATGGATCTCCTTGCCGAATCCCCCTGGTCGGATTAATCCTTCCACTTTGTTTGCCATTTATACTCACTGAGTATGAAACACTATGCACACACGCCATAACTCGGGATATCCAACGTTCAGAAAAACCCATCACCCGCATCACCTCTTCTAAATAGGACCATTCTACACGATCATATGCTTTGCTTATGTCAAGTTTCAAAGCCATATGACTCACCTGACCCCCTCTCTTGTTTGACATATAATGCACCGTTTCAAAGGATATAATTGAATTGTCAAAGATCTGCCTATCAGGAACAAATGCACTCTGTGTATCACTGATAATATCTGGGAGAATTAGCTTCAATCTATTTGTCAATGCTTTAGTGATAATCTTCATCATCACATTACATAGACTAATAGGTCTGTAATCTCGAACAGATGAAGGGTTGGCTAGTTTTGGAATCAAAACAATGTTGGTATGATTGATTGCTGGAAGCGGATCACCATCATTCAAAAAACCCAACGCCATCTTCACTATATCTCTTCCCACGATATGCCAATAAGTTTGGAAAAAACAAGGATTCATTCCATCTGGACCCGGTGCTTTACATGGGTTCATTTGGAAAATAGCTTCTTTAATATCCTTTGATGTAAACTCCTTATCAAGTAAATCACTCATCTTAGGTGAAACTCTCTGACCAATAAGAGAAGTGACTTTAAGAATATCATTTCTATTAGGATTATCAGAGGAAAAAATGGATTGATAATAATCCATAATAATCCTTGTTATAGAATCCTGATCACAATGTACTTCTCCAGCATCATCAGTAACGCTGGTTATAAAATTTCTCCTCTTTCTTTGATTTGCAACAGCATGGAAGTATTTGGTATTGCGATCTCCATCTCGAAGCCAAAGAGATTTCGATCTCTGTCTCCACATTGTTTCTTCTTGTTGATATAAGCTATTCAAATTCCTTCTTCTTTTTGGCAATTTTAGAACGGACATTGCCAAAAACATCTTGGTTCCAACGCTGCAGTAGGTTTCCACACTTATATAATTGGTCGGGAACACCCTCACAAGCCGAATCTGTCCATCCTTCATTAACAATTGCTGCTGAATCTTCATGCTCTGCCCATATATTCTCAAATCGAAACTGTCTACCAATTTGAATCGGAAGCTCTGGCTTATCCAAGATATGAAGAATCAAAGGCAGATGATCTGAAACTAAGGTTAATTCATGCTCTTCAAAGGTGAATCCAAATCTGTCAACGCAATCTGTAGAGGCCAAACATCTATCCAGGCGTTCATAGACTCGACCTTGTGATGTAACTCCACTCCAAGTCATACGAGGTCCTTGAGTTGGAATTTCTTGGAGCTGGCAAAAATCAATTGCATCTCTAAAGTTAGCCATTTGTTTTTGAGGCCGAAGAGCATCTCCCAATTTCTCTGAAGAAGAAATTAATTCATTAAAATCTCCCCCACAAATCCAAGGAAGAGGTGAGTGAGATTTCAAATTTTTGAGAAGTTCCTAAGATCTAAATCTGTTATGAGTGACCGGATTGCCATAAAATCCTATTAACCTCCATGGTGAGCAACTATCAACTACTACTTCTACATCAATGTGATTAATAGAAAAAGACAACAAAGAAACCTGAATCTCAGAGCACCAAAGTAAAGCCAATCCACCAGATCTTCCCACACTATCCACAGTAAAGCAGTTATTAAAACCAATCTTAGCTCTGAGCCATTCCATCTCTCCCTTATTTTTCTTGGTTTCTGAAAGAAACATAATTTTGGGATTGTGTTTTCTGACTAATTCAGTCAGAATATGAACTGAACGGGGGGTCCCAAGTCCCCGACAGTTCCAAAATAAAGCTTTCATTGATGTCGACAAGAGTGGTCAATGTGCCCCAAACCCGCCGCTGGTAAAGGTAGATTGTCATTGTTGCTGGTTGTTACATCACGATGTCTCTTAGTGGCACAAGGTAATTCGCCATCAGTGTTGAAGGTTGGATCTTGGATTCTTTTAGTACATTGGGAAGAAGGCAGATTCTTGTCATCTTTGGCTGTGTTAGTTCTAGAGTGAATCCTTGCTGATCTTTTCCATTGGGATTTTGGCTTTGTTGAAGAAGAGGCACATTGATTCTGATCAATCCCGAAATACAAAAGTATTTTGTTGAGCAGGTGATTTGGATTCAATACCAGTTTTCACATTTTCCACACAAGTAGCATCTGTAAATAACTGTTTTCCTGCCAGGTCATTTGAGATCATAGTAACTGTCTCCATAATTTCAGCATTTGGTTGGTGCAAGGATTTAGCAGTTACAGAATTGTTAACTACCTTTGCCATGTCATCATCTTTCTCCAAGTCGGAAACTGCCACCACGAAATCTGTAAGCACTGTCCTACTTCCTTCTCCGATCTGCTTATTTGTAATTGTATTTTTCATCAGGGAATTTCCTTCTAAGGCCACTGGATTTGCAAGAGCAATATGGATTGAATTGTTGGTAGGAGAACTTCTATCGGGTATGATTGGATTAGCTGGAGTATCAAATGATGATACATTTGATAAGGGTGTTTCAGCCCTCAACCAAGGACCGTATCCTCTAACTATCTTCTCAGTAGTTCTTTTCATAGTGTAGGCTTTTCCACAATTTGATTCCACATGATCAAGACATCCACATACATAGCAGAAATCAGGAAGGCGTTCATAACGAAAAGGGATCATAGTAACACCCACAATTGAAAGGTTAACACGAGTGCCTATCTTCAAGGGTCTAAGAACATTCATGTTGATTCGAACTCTTAGGCATTTTCCCCATGCTATTTTTTCTCCACACTTATCAACTTCTTCAACAATTTCAATATTCTTCCCAATGGAAATTCCAGTACTTTCATTCATACAAGCCAATGGAAGACCATGAATTTGCACCCAAAATGAGCACCAATCAAGTTCAATGGATTCTGGCTTAGAAAATCATCGAAATCATTCAGGATCATCAATGATCAATTGAAATTCCAAGGCTGTTGAAGATAAATCCTGTCCTTCTCCCACCCTCTCGAATTGAAAAACATACATTCTATTTTCCAACTCTTGAATCTGCAAACATCCTCGAAGTCTCCATATTTTGTGCAGGACAGATTTGAGGATGTCAATGTTAATTGCCTTTCGGGTAAGAAATTTCCCTAGAAGGCAATGTTTTCCAACAAGCAAAGTTTCTTCCAACGAACCATGATTCAATTCAACAATGCTATTCTCCTCATCAGATAAGGAAAGATTAGCCCACATGTTATTAAGATCATCAGCCATCAAAGATTAAATGGAAAAGAGTAAAAAGGAAACCAGATTGGATAGAAATCTGATTAAATATAAAAAAGAAAGGCTCTCACAAAGGAGTACAATCTCGCGCTTGATTTCTCTCACAAAGGAGTACATAATGCTCTCACAAATTAACATTTGAACAACTGAATTATGAATTGAATAAAAATACTTTATGGATTCAAAGCAATTGTACAGACCTTGCTTTATGGAAAACTTGTTTTTGATAGAATCAGTACCCCCAAAACTTGAATAAGTACCTTCCTTTTCTACAGAGCTTCGGAAAAACTTGCTAGAACCAATACCCACAGAACTAGAACTAGTGCTAGCAGCATCTATAGCTTCAACTGGGCTGGAATAGCCACATGACTCCTAACAATGGAAAGATTAAGTCACCACAAGAGGGCAATATTCAAAATATCAAAATGAAGAAATTTGAAAGGGTGATTTTCTTGCATTATCCTATTCTCAATCCAAATGGTAGCCACAAGATCAATAAAAAGGAAGAAAATCGGGATCTTACTTTAAAAGGGCAAGAGTAGAATCTACGAGCAACACCTCCAACATCAATAAATTAAATGAGGTATAGCCCCCTATCACAAGGACACCTCAATTCATCCAACCATATAAAAACACCACACTTTTTGCAACTAAGGCTATGTCGACCTATATGCTCAATGTTGTTTGCAATTTGCACTTTCAGTTAATACCACAGTTGGTACATTCATAGCATGTTTCGTTCTGCCACAAAAACAAAAAACGTTGTGCAATATTTTCAATAGAATAACAAAAAGCAATGAATAGGGGGAGAGCAATCAACAAATAACACACCTTATTGTATATTTCCCTCTCACGGTAGAACCTTTGGTACGCGTTATCCGCCTTCTCCACCGAATCAAAAGCAAAAAAAAAAAAAATAGCATTTTTGACACCATTAACATTACTTTTGCATTCTAGCCAAGTCTTATATATTCCATCCCTTTTCCCAACAAACACGCAATATACTTTGACCATTGCTCGATTCTTTAAAATTAAAATAAAAAAAAACAACCATATGGTAATCACAATAACCAACTCTATACACAGATGAACGAAGAGGATAGTAAATGAATACCTCAATTGTAAGTCCGAAGTTTCTAGGAAATTTCCCATTCCACATCATATATAAAGGCATCACTATGTTTAGAGTTAACCTATTATTCTTGATCCAACAACTCACTATGTTTTGGTTTGTTCTCTAACTTTTGTCTATTTTATTTTATATTGTTTTCTTCTCCAATTTTTTTTTTTAGTTCTCTAACCCACGAGTTTTGAATTGATATGATGGCATAAGTAAATACTTAATTTTATTCATTTAAACTTCAAAACTTTATTCGTATCTTCTTACTGCATACTAGTATTATATATTCGTATTTTCTTACTGCATACTACTATTATATATATGAACGATTTTTATTACTTTTTAATATTTATACGGTTTTATTTTCCATTTTTTCATTTTTTTAGCAAAAAATCAAATTCATTCCATTCAATAGTCGGCATTACAAACGTGTAGAGGTTCTCCACACCAATCAACATAAGCTCCAACTTCACAATTCAATTGTGCCAAGTTATGAGCAAACATATTAGCACTTCTATTTACATGGTTATAAGAACAAAAACTAAAAACAGAACCTAAAACTCTAATTTGACTAATCAAAGCTCCCCCCCCCCCAAAGAACAGGCCCTGATCTATTAATTTCCTGTATTACTAGCAGAGAATCATTCTCCATCTCACAAGACTATAAGTCAAATGCTCGAGCCAAAATCAACCGAAAACGGATTGCAAATAATACTCCAAACACAGGGTTCGGGACATTATCAGTCCTGGCAATGGTGTAGAAGCCACTACCAAGCCTTGCTTGTCCCTTATCACCATGCCCAATCCTGCTTCGCCCTTCTCCGCCCTAAATGATGCATCTGAATTGATTTAAAATTGTGTCGAATACGGCGGAGAAATAAATATGGGGATTGTGGATCCCCCAGTCTAATCCCCCTCTTGGCTTGATTACCTCCGTTTGATCACCATTCATCATAAACGAATAAGAGACTGTCTTAACACAAGTCATAGCCAATGAAATCCATCTGTTTGAAAAACCAATTTGCCGCATCATACTCTCCAAAAAATCCCACTCTACTCGGTCATAATCCTTACTAAGATCCAATTTCAAAGCCATATACCCCTTATTCCCAATGCGTTTGTTCTTCAAAAAATGCACCGTCTCATAAGCAATCATAGTACTATCAAAAATCATTCTCCTAGGTACAAAAGCACTCTGGGCGGACCCAATAATTTGGGGCAAAAACTCCTTCAATCTATTCGCTAAAGCCTTTGATACTGTTTTAAAAGTAATATTATAAAGAATTATTGGCCTAAAATCTTTAACAATTGAAGGGTTGTCAACTTTCGGAAATAATACTACATTAGTGTAATTAATATCCATAGGAGGAGCTCCGGAGTGAAGAAAAGCCAAAGCCATATCACTTACCTTCTTTCCTACTATGTGCCAAAATCGTTGAAAAAACATCTGTGACATACCATCCGGACTCGATGCTTTATTCAGATCCATGTCAAAAACTGCTCGCTTGATTTCTTCTTGTGTAAATTGTTTATCCAACATGGTGCTAATATCCGAAGAAATCCTCTTGTCTAATAATCCAGTAACCACATGGATCCTTGAAATATCAGGAGATGTGATGGTGAAGATGTCTTTAAAATAGCCTATTATCAATCCTTGTACCGTACTTCGATCAGTCTGCTAATTTCCACCTTCATCTTGAATCGCCATAATTGAGTTCCGCTTCTTTTGAGTCGAGGCAACCGAGTGAAAATATTTCGAGCTCCGATCACCATCCTTTAACCAATTCATTTTGGAACGTTGACGCCTCATTTCTTCCTCTTGATCATACAAAACATTTAGCTCGTCCAAACATTCTTGAATAGGTTGTGTGTCATCAGATTGCTTGACATGTATGTAGAGATCCACAAGTTCCTTCTGTTTGGATTTAATTTTATGGCGTACATTGCCAAAATTCCTTCTACCCAAGCTTGTAAAGCTCGACTACAAGACTCAATTGCCTGCATAACATCAACATTTGGATCATCATCCCCACTGTCCTTAATGACATCTTCCAAGCCTTCATGCTTTAGCCACATATTTTCAAACCGAAACTGATTTTTTAGAATAAAATCCATCGGTGCTTTGTCCAAAACCGTAACCAATATAGGTAAATGATCAGACTTGGAGTGAATTAAATCATGTGCAAAAGAGTACAAAAACTGACCCATCCAAGCAGCATTTGCAAAACAACGGTCTAATTTCTCAAAAATCATTCCCTCCTCAAAACGTCGAGACCAAGTAAAAACAAGCCCTTTTGTTGGAAGTTCTTGGAAATTAGACTCATCAATAGCCTCCCTAAAATTTAACATGATGTTAAGGTCTTAAATTCCCACCTAACTTCTCATTATTTGTCAAAATTTCATTGAAACCTCCAGCACAAAGCCATGGAAGTGGAGATTGAGAGGCCAATAATCTTAACGGCCCAAGACTCATGGCGTTGAGACACTTCAGGTCGGCCATAGAAGCCTGTAAAACGCCATTTAGAAGTTTCATCATCACCCACATGAATATCAATATGCAAATTAGAATAAGACACAACAGAGACTGAGATTTCATTATTACAAAATAAAGCTAAACCACTTGATCTACCCTTACTACCAACACTAAAACAACGATTATATCCTACTTGACATCGAATCCAATTCATCTCAACAACAAAACGCTTAGTTTCAGAAAGGAAAATAACACTAGGATTATAATCATCTTATTAATCTACGAAGAGCAAAGACTGTCTGAGACCCGCCAAGGCCCCGACAGTTCCAAATAAGTAGACTAATGACTCCCGGCGGGATGGTTCTCATCCATCCCGACCGATGTAAAATTTTGACCAACATTCTGATCACCTGCATCCCCTTTATTAGACGCATGATCTGGTTCTTCAACATCCCCATCATTACGATAAATAAAAGGTCCAAAGCCATCATCTTCATGAGCCGCCATTGACATCTCCCTATCCTTGGATCATTTATTAGCCCCTACATTGAAAAAGTCATAACTTGGAATCCCCGAGCCTCTAATCTGACCAATTTTCATCCTTGGGTCAGACCCCAAAACATCAAAAGAATATTGATAAGAAGCCCTTGTTGTCTTCTTCCACTTACTCTGCTTCCTACCTTGATGTGGCGATGTTGCACAAAAAACAAAAGGGATGGATGGAGAGAAAGATTCTGTCGGCAAAGGGATGCAATCTTCATTATTTTGTATAATGGCAAGGTTCTACAAATCTTTAAAGCCCTAGTGTGGTTAAATATTGTCAAATTGTTGTGGGCCGGATCCGGAGAGCCCTAATGCTAGGGATATTACGATCCAAACCCAAACTACTCTTACCTATATTCACTCCTCATAAAACCTCTCCTCTATTGAATTGTGAAGATTCCCCCGACCCCTCTACATGCTGCGAGAAATTAGCAAACTCTTTCTGTTTTCCCGCCAACTATGCAAATCATTCCTTGAGTCAGCAAATAATTTGTTGCCCCTGTTTTGCTGTGCCGCTAGTCTTGGAGGTGAATGAACAACTTCCAATTTCCTCCAATTTGACATATTCTCCACGTTTCCCATTCCCCCCTTATTTTGCGCCATAACATCGTAACCCGACATTATCTTACATGAGCCATCTCCACCGTCCGCTACACGCGCCGCCAGCCTGCGGTTAAGAAACAGGCTATCGACATGATTCCTGAAGGCTCTCGGTCGGTCCAAACCTGAACTTAAAATCATCGGCAGCTGCCTTAAAGAATTTCGATTATCAGCCACCATACCAGAGAGTCCAGTTGACAGCGAGAATTTAATCTTTCATGTCGAGGTTGTAAATCCGGTATCTCTGCCGGTAAACTGTCATCAAATTGCTTCTCAAAATATCCTTACGTTTTGAGCATGATTACTCCCACCGGACAATCGGAATACAGATAAGTCAAAAAGCCACAGACCCTGCAAAACGCTAGTAACTTCTCATTCTTAAATCGGACAGTCAACTCACCTTGAGATGTTGAGATTGTCTTTGCTTTCTTCAATGGCGCTTGAAGATTCAAAATCACCCTGATAGTTAGAAACCTCCCACAGGTATCATCTACTTCCACCACCGGCCCCATCATTTCTCCAACCGATACACCCACCTTTGTGTTCATCATCAGAATAGGAAGATAAAAAATCCTCATCCAGTGCTAACACTGGTCAAACTCAAAATCTTCCGGATTTTGTAGCCTATCAAAGACTGGGAGACAAGGACTCGATCCCTCACTATTTCATCTTCAAAGAGGAAAATAAAAAGATTATCTTCTGCTTCCTTAACCTAAAAAGCACCCTCCAAACTCTAAGCTAGCAGTATTGCCGTTCACAAACCGTCTACGTTCACGTAAATGAAATCAGGCTAATTACCCGTCGTTTCCCCCCAACCAGTCTTGATCTTCCACGATCACATTATCTTCCCCCTCTCCTTGGATCGATAATCTAGAAATATTAGACAACGCACCTTCCATTTGACCAAAAGAATCAAGAGCATAAAACAGAGAAAGATTGGAAATAATGAAGTCAAAAATAAGTATGAACCACCAAACCCAACTCGCCAGGATCTTTAAAAGGATAAGAGGAAACATGTTGCACCGAATCTTAGAAAATCGACTTTCAAATTCAAAAATTTGGTAACAGCAATACTTATCCAAATTATTATTGACAACCAAGATCATAGCAAACGAATCCTCAAGATATGCATCCAAGGCAGGGAACTTGTATCTTGACAAGTGAGATTCTCCACCGGATGAAAAACGGAGAGAAGGACTGACCACCGTCAAGAGAGAAAAATCCATAGACAGTCTTTAGATTACTTTATTGTGGATCTTCGTGGAACTAGTTTTTATTTTCCAATTTTTGATTGAGTTACTTTTTTATATTTTTAAAATTTTTGTTACATTTTTTTTAATTTAGGTGTTAAAGATGGGAGACATAACTCTTAAACTCACCAAAAGTTTGGCCAATTTGGAAAAACGATACAAGGAACTGGAAAAGATCAGTATTCGTCTTTCACTCTTAACAACATAATGACTCTTTTGAAGGAGCACTAAAAGACATCAGAAATTCCGTTTGATATTTGAGTTTTGAACTATCCGATAAATGTTACGATTTTGATGTTTATATCTCCCGTGTCAAAAGACCAAGACTTAAGTAAGATTATTTTCGTTTTAAAAGATTTATTTTACATAAGAATTATTAATGCCATTAATTTTTATTTTTAAGATGTCATTCTTAAGTATTACCAACGGAGGGGGAGCTATAGGTTACTACATAATATGTTTATCACAACAACATAGTCGAATTCAACAAAAAAGCTAGCAAAGTCATTATTTTTAACATTAGGGTTTAAAAAAAAGGCTAAATTTGGATCAAAAAGTTGAAGCTCCCTGATTTGTGACTTAAGATCACATCAATGGTGGTGCTTTCTAGTTATGAAGAGCTTGACATACTGCTCTGATACCATGAAAAATTTTGGGATACCACAATATCTCTTTGAGTAAAATACAAATACATACTATTAATAGACTTTGATTTTCCTAAATTTATTCGCCAATTTTAAATGGATCTATATCTACAGGTATGTTGCTTTATAAATAAGTACAGTTGTCTTTCCTTAATAGGAAAGAAATTGGTATAAGGAAGAAATTAAAGAAAACTATAGCTAATATAAACTAGAAAAACATAAATATAGCTTTTTTAATAAATTTTTCAATTTTTTATATATGAAATATTAATTATGTATTAACCATAACAATTTTCTCAAGTTTTAAGGTTAATAGAGAGGCTTATGATGATTCTAGTACTAACACGTTCGTCCTATTCGATGCTGAGCATCTCATTTGCTTAAGAATTCAGTTGACGAATTATATAAGACTTCACTGCAGCTATTTTTAAAAAAATTAGTATTCATATTTATTGTTAACGTTTTTATTACACTTGAAAATAGTCAAGATTGCGGGAAATTTATACTACCTATTCATAAATATCTTGCAAACTATTTTGGATGTCAACTCAAATTTTGATTTGTTGTATTAAATGTGGAAATAAATATATTTATGAAATTAACAATAATTTTTAGAGATTTTTATATGGTTTTCTTTTTATTGTAAAACGCATCCTTATGCAGTACAATGTATTTTTAAGATTAAGAAAGTTAGTTATACACGAATCAATTTACATTGAATTAATACATAATTTTGTAGATATATACATATTTATATTTATAAAGCCTGATTGATCATTAGTAAAGCTAAAAAAAAATAATGGCAATCCATTAACAACAAGGTTGAATTTGAAGTTTTCATTGGAAATCAAGCACCTGCTCATGTTGTTGGAAAGGGAAATGTGGATCTGAAATTTACTTCAAGCGAAAGATTAACTTTGGTTAATGTTTATCATATATTATCTATGAAAAGAAACTTACTTGCTGCTTCCTTACTTGTTAAAAGAGGTTTTAATATTGTTTTAGAATCTGATTAGCATGTAATCACCAAGCATGATGTCTTTGTTGGCAAGGGATTAATGAAGTTAATCATGTTTCTGCTTATATTGTTGAATCTTCTAACTTATGGCATGCTACATTAGGACATTTTAAATTATTATACTTTAACATTTTATGTCCAGCCATGGTTATTTACAACGCAAACATGATTTTTTGGATAAATGTGAAATTTCTGCATAAGCTAAGATTACAAGGAAATCATTTCCTAAATCTGAAAGAGTAAGTAATTTGTTGGGATTAATCAATTTGGATATATGTGAATTTAATGGAAAATTATTAAGGAGTGGATATTTCATCACCATTATAGATAATTGTTCAAGATATATCCATATTTACTTACTAAAAACAAAAGATGAAGCATTTGATGCAATGAAGGAATTCAAAGCACTAGTTGATAATCAAAAGGAAAGAAAGATTGAAATCTTAAGGAGTGATAGAGGAGGAGAATATTTCTCCGGTGAATTTAATCAATTTTGTGAGGATTATGGAATAATTCACCAAAGAACGGCTCCATTTACTCTCCAACACAATGATTTGGCGGAGAGGAAAAATCGAAGACTTGTTGATATGGTAAATACTATGATTTTAAATGCAAAGTTGTCATTCAACTTGTGGGGAGAAACAAACTTACTGCTTGTCATATTACCAATAGAGTTCCTTTCAAGAAAACTCTGATGTCACCTTATGAAGGGTTGGAATGGAAGGAAACCTAATATAAACTATTTTAAATTGTGGGGGAGTGTGGCATACTATAGACTTCCGGATTCTCAAAGACAAACTGGTTCAAGAGAAATCAAATCTGTTATTTTAGGCTATGCACAAAACTCAAAAGCATATAGATTGCTTGATTTGGAATCAAATGTAATTGTGGAATCAATACATGTTGAATTTTTCGAAAAGTCATTTGTACATGAAAATGTACATGATCATGTCATAGAACATGATGATCATGTTAACAAACATGATGAAATTATTTCTAGACCTAAAAGGAAGAAAATTGAAGATGAATCTTTTGAATTAAGGAGGAGTCAAAGACAAAGAAAAGAAAGTCTTGATCCCGATTTTATTTATGGAATGATAAGAATATTGGAAATATCTAATATTGATGATGATCCAAAACCTTAAGAGAAGATTTAGCTTCTAGAGATGCTGCATTTTGGGAAGAGGCTGTAAATGATGAAATGGATTCAATTATGGCCAACAATACTTGGGTTCTAGTTTACTTACCTCCTAGTTCAAAACCTATTAAAAATAAATGGGTCTCTAGAAGGAAATACAATTCCGATGGCACATTACAAACCTTTAAAGCAAGGTTAGTTGCTAAAGGGTTCACACAAAAGCAAGGACTAGATTATGGAGTGATTTTGTGCCTCTATGTTGATGAAATGTTAATTATTGGTACTAATATGCTTGTTGTAGAAGAGACTAAAAAGTTTAT